GTAGGGAAATGTCCCAGTCAGGAAAACAAATGTAAGCGGTTCCTTCTGTGCCCAAAATTGAAGGTGCTAAGGAGGGTTTCACTGTTGGTATACCCCAGGTGTACACAACCAGCCGTGGAGAGCTTCTGGCACTTGGAGAAGCAAAATAATCGGAGGGTTGATGGCCAGGTCTGCTGGAGTGAGTGTGGGTTGAGTTGGGAGAACGTGAGCACCTAAAGGCTGGTGGCCTCCTGGTACATGAATATAGAATCATAGAATCATTACGGTTGGAAGAGATCTCAACATCATCAAGTCCAACCCTATACCTGATGCCACCACATCCGCTAAACCCACTAAACCATGTCTTGAAGCGCCACAGCTAAACGTTTTTTGAACACCTCCAGGGATGGTGACTCCACCACCTCCCTGGGGAGCCCGTTCCAATGCCTAATGACTCTTACAGTGAAGAAGTTCTTCCTAATGTCCAACCTGAACCTCCCCTGGCGCAACTTGAGACCGTTTCCTCTTGTCCTATCGCTAGTTACTGGGGAACTGCTGAGTCAAGAGGCCGAGGAACAGGCAAGAGGAGGCACCAACTATAAGGGAATGAAAGAAGACCAGAAACCACAGAAGAAGAAGAAAAGGCTTGTTATTCCTTAACAGAAGCTGAACTTAATAAACTTCCCATGGCTTTGCTACAGAACGTCTGTGAGATTTCCGAGTCAGGATATTTGGTCTCCCTGTCCAAGACCACTTAATCCTTTAAACATTTATCAAGTACAGAAAGAAAGCACCTTCGGACTGCTTTATGATTTCTGCTTCACCTTCTTCTACTAACTTCAAAATTCTTCCTATGTCTCCTTTCCAGACATGGAAACCTGGTGAAGGTTTCACAGGGCAACCTGGTGAAGACTGACACTGAATTTTAAACCTATATGAATCTTCACTGGATGTGGAGACAGAGGCAGAATTTTGCCGTGTTCACGATATTGCCAACTCATTTGGCTTTGGAGCAATGGGTGGGTTTGCTTATGGCTCTATTTCAAAAGACCCTACAGGGTGTGCTCACCTTTGGAGTGGTGAATGAAAAAGTAAAGGTAGCGTAAATAGCTGAGCTAAAAATGAATGAGCTGAATGAGAAAAGAAACCAGCTCAAGATAGCACTTACTTCATAACTCTAATTTTTGTTGATATTAAAATTTTATAAAGTTCCACTGCAACTTAAAAGTATTCCCTGATTTTTTTTCTTTTTTTTTTAAAATACCTTGATCTGCTTGGCTGAAAAGAATGAAAAAGCCACACAGATTTGAATTATTAAAATTAATCTTAAATCTTAAAAGAAAATCTTTCATAATAATGGTATCATAAAAAATGATCGCAAAAACTTACTTTGGTATGAGACAATTCTTTCAGCTATGTAGAAGCAGCACAAGATTATTATGAGACATACTAGTTTTGGTATGCTGTAAATACATTAGCTAAACACGGAGTGACTAATGTCATCGATCATTCATTTCATTACCATAATTTCAATCAATCATTTCATTATCTTCATGTTAAAATAAAAGATCAGCCTGAAATGATGTAGTTGCATGGAAACATTTTTTTCGAAGTTGGAAAGGCACTACGATGGACAAAAATGGATACTGCTTTACTAATGATATTTTATCTGAAAAAATAATAGACAGAAAAAAAAGTATACTTAAAGTTCACAGGAATTATAAAAGGATAATATCCTGAAGAGCATGAATTCTGTAGCACAATGGAGAAAAAGGTAAGGTAAGGGGATAGAAAAAAAATTAAATTTAACTAGTCAGCTGATAATATGATTGTCAGGCTACTATTTCATACATCCAGATTGATTTACACAGCATAAAGAAAATCTTCGTGTGATTACAAAACTCCAAGCCCCACATTATTGAAAAATGAAAACTCATTTTTGCTTTCAATCACTGTCAAGCCCGTGATGAATTCAGACCACTGCCTCACTTCGCAAAGTTTCCATAACAACTCCCTCTCCTGACAGCAGCCGATATTTGGCAGTCAGCTCCCCACCCCGCTCCCATCTACCAACGCTGCCTGTGTTCAGAAAACTGAAATAATCTGACGGGAGGTTTAAGTCTTAGGATACCCTAAATGTATATGAAACGTCAAAGGTAATTTAAAAGTATCGATTTCCACTGTGAAATGGCTAGATCTTTTAGTGAAAAGAATTTCAGATACAAAAACAGTTTTTGCTCCTTTTTCTCTATTTTTCTGCTTCCTATTGTTGTGGAACTACAATACTGATGGGAAATTATGTATTTAAAACCATTGAATAATTAAAATACAATGTGATTAGCTGCCATACATATTTTCAAATAATCATATTATTTTAATACAGGAATGTCACCAAAGTGAATCTTTGCTGAGGAAAAGTGTGTTTGTAATTCATTTGAAGTATCACTATCAGAGGCAAAGACAGAGAGCTGACACGAAGTTAGTCTTCTGGGATCAAATTATTTTGCTCTATAAAATTTAAAGCTCCTAAAATCTAATCTTCTGTAAAAGCTCACAAGAAAATAAATAAATAAATACATAATTTTTTTTGCAGACCAGAAGAGTTTTTATTCAGTGATAGCTTTATGGTCTTCAGAGGATTTTTTTTTTCTTAAATTCTGTATCTTTGGTTCTACTACCTCCAAGATTGAAACCCATAGAAATGTAAATTATTCCCTCTATTATAAAGACAAAATTGAATATAAAAAGACAACAATGCACTTTCTTCTTCTGCAAAAAAAACACTTCCAATCACTTTGGTATATTTTTTAGTTATCATAAAATTATCTTGAGACCACTGGAAAATGTCTAGTATACAACTATGGAACAAAATTGGAATTGTTTCTTGTTTGTCCTGCAAAATATCCTTTGGCACATGTAAACACAGTTCTTCAGGCAAGAGGACTCCTGCTTTGTCCCAGGCACAGGGCTGGAACCCTGGGTTCCATTCCTGGTTCAGGAAATATTACCCATGTGATCTTACATTTAAATGCTTTCTGCCCTAACACAGCATCATAAAAATACCAGGTAATTTCACATGCTTTATGAACCATTACTGGTTTTGTACCATGTTACGTTATA